ATAACTTGCATTCAAGTTCCCTTTTTTGACACCCGTCAAACTGGAAGCATATGGAACGAACCATGCCAATCAAAATCCTTTGGTTCTTGTTTTTAATAGGAGAATCTACCACCAGGACCATGAATCATTCTGAAGAGATTAAAAACGCCATCCAGAATGAGCATTGTGTACCATCAGTCCTTTTTTAACTTTCTGTGAGAAGGTATTTGGCCATTTCATCTTCACTGTGCAGATATGAGGTGGTATCGGGCGATTTCACAGTGTTGACCACAGAGAACAATGTAAAATTGCCCCTTGGCAGTAGTTATAACGGACCGCGGTATAAATCTGTTTGCTAACGTTGGCTGTATCGCGGTTTTTGTTTGTTTCCTGACAGTGTCAAATTTCCCCCATCTAAAAGTTAGTTCAGGTCACCCAGATGGTATTAATATTAATAACAAGAACACCAAAAACAAGGAAGGAACTTCGGGGATACTAAAATATCCCTCTGGCTTGGACGTTTCCCCTCAGGTGGTAGTCAAAGAACGCGGCATCGTATGTTTCCTCTTAAGGATTTTTTCTGTTCTTTTCTGTCTTCGGCCTGCATCTAAACTATCTCCGTGAATGTTGCTTTGCGCATATCCAGGGTTGAGTTGTCAATTAGATGAGCCTATGAGTTTTTGGACTGATAGTCCCCCGATGAACGTGACAGGTCCTGTTGCTTCATTCCGTTTAGGTGCCTCTTTTCGGTATTAGCTTATCTGTCTGAAGAAATCGAAAAGTCTCTCCTTTTGGATCTGGGAGACTCGTTTTGTTTAAAGAGGAGCGCCCTCTCGATGGCGTCTACATTGAAGAAGGAAAGGGGAGGTAAAGTTATAATTTTCAACACTAAACACATGCCAAAGTTAAAATGTGAATTCATTTAACTTTTTCATAACCCAACTCTCTCTGACCTAGAGGTTTGGGTAAGCCATTCGTAGTTAAGTTGTGACCAAGATTTATTCAAATTTCGGTGGTATGTCAAGCTAGCTTATTGCTTAAAAGGTGAAATAACAGGCCTTCTTTTTTTCCTATAATGAGAAATCACACTTTCTCTCTCTGCTGCTCTACAGCCAACCGGACGACAAAATATGGATTTCTGCACGATCTGTCATCCATCCAACTGTTTATTTACCTATTTGCTCCAATAATCGAGCAGCTGCAAGCGTCTGATTTTGAAACGTTGAAACTGGAAGCTGGTCTGGCCATCTGGGTACCTCTGATGGCATTTCGACAACCACCTAGGGGGACACTACCAACCCCAGTCAAACTGTTTGACCTTGATCATGGAATATTTGGTCGTGCTCTACCCACGCTTGACAGACCTCGTCAAGTAGGAGAATATATTGAAGAGGTGGCTGAAGTGAAAACCACAGAGAAAATTGTTGGTGGGATCTACGTTGGGGAAGGAAAAAAACCCAAACATGTGGGAACTTCATTGAAGGAACAAGCTAAAGCAATTGACATCGGTGCCATCTTACTCCATTTTGATCGAACTGTGCCAGTGAGTAGACATGCACAATGTTCGTCGTAAACCTCAGCTTTTACTCTGTAAACGCATATGCATATTTATTTCGAAGGGAACTTGATTATTTTCTTATTGTGCTCGTTCATGAACTTTTAGGAATATTTTAGGAATATTTATCAACGAGATACCACATCAGGTGCATGTTCCATGCAGTTCATTGTATATCTCGCATATCTAGGCGGTTTTCTCAACATTGCTGCATTCATTGATGAACTTAAGCTCACCTCCAGGAAGTCTGTGCCAAAAAGTCGCTTCACCTTTATTTTGAATTATCCGACGTTTTTACTTCACAAATCCCTATATAGATTCGAGCCCACAAAATTTGGTTTAGAATATAAGCGCCAATATGCAGCTGTGGGTGATTGATTGGCCTGATGGTTCACTTGCATTCAGACTGCACCTGGCGCTCCTAACTGTTCAGTTCGTGCTACTTGAACGAATGTTGACTGCAATCACAGTAAAATTTCAGTAGAATATCCATACGTCTTCTGCGCGGAGGGGATTAATTTTATTTAAAAAAAATCGTTCAGCTTTAACACCCTTCCGGTGCCTAGCTTCCATGCTACCTGAAGGAAGCCCGAGGGCTGGTATACTGTCAGGTTGCCCAAGCCTAGACAGGGGAAGTCGAGAGGCAGAGGTCGGGTTCGAACCGAGGACCTTTCGGTCACTAACTTCGCGCTCTAACCACAGAGAGAAGTCCACAGTTTTACTGACAGGTCCAGACCAGCAACAACCACGATCCACGCAAATGAAACTAAAAAACCACTGGTGATTATTTATAATCGTTTATCAGGGCGTAATTGACTAGTGCTCTGTTGGTTTATTCGTCTACGCAGAACTACGCAAACGGGTTCCAGTGTACACCTGGTCGACAAGTTTGTTCACAAAAGTTTGAAGCACGCATTTGGCCTTACAGAGCTCGAAGAATGATTTTTGGTTTGTCCGCAATTAATACTAAACAAGCCCAGAGAACACTGCCTCATATTTTGCTTTCGCGCTCACATTCCAACCGCTGCGCTACGTCGTTCACTGCGCTTTTATTGCTGCCTTTGCCTTTTATTGCATTGCTGGAACCTGGTCTTTATTCATACATAGAAACAAGGAAAAAGCTTGCAGACAAAACGTAAAACAAACTCGAGAAATGGTGGTTTGCATTTGTAGAATGTTTTCTAAACTCTGGGTTTTCAGACCTTATACATAGCGTCTACAAAATTGTCGCATTACCTGGCAGAATAAAAATGCTTGTCTGTGAACGACAACCCTTATTCTCAGTGATGGGTCGTTCAGTCACTAAAAACGTTAGATACGGGGTGACATCGGAACTGGCGTAATAGAGTATGGAAGAAGGGCCTATGCGGACGATCGACAAAGTACCAACATATCGAAAGCTTCGATAGTCGGATTATTGCTGTGGTGGCTTCCTGTTGTTCCAAAAAGTTTCCAGTGCGAAGGGGTCTAACTGCGTCTTTGCGAGCGCAGCTCCACTAAGGTTTCCTTCTTAGTGTGGCAGAAAGTGGATGTTGAGATCTGAGACAAATTCCTTTTGTTTTTCGGAGACCGGAGGCCAGTCTGTTAGGCTGGATAAACGTAGCTAGATGGATTTGTTGTTAGTTAGCTTTCTGAACTATTGCATCTAACTAACGGCAAATAGTCCTATCGCTGATCCGCATGGAGAACCTAAAAGTTTGCTTTAAGATTAAAAAGTATCGTATGGTTAAGCTTTTAAAGATTCCACCGTATTCTTGCTGAGATATTTGATCAGATACTTAGGCACGGGTGAGCCGAGTGAACCTATGGGGAATACCAGAAATAATTATTTATGTACACGGCCAGAGAGCTGAAACAAACTGACCAGTGGTGAACCACAGTCTTCCAATAGGGGATGATCCACTTTTTGTTTGTTAGTTTTGCAGGAGACTACGTCACCAGATATAGACAAACGTCATTTGATTCGACTGCACTGAGACTCGAAACTAACCCGCCCCACCAGATTGAAACTTATAGAGAACTGACTCTATAAGCGACCTGGGATAGACGTTCTCCGACCACTGTTGTTCTAGCCAAACCGAAAAGTGGCTAACATTCACGAGCTATCCAAGCACACTGTGCGTACGAGTAGTGCGGATCACAAATTGACCCTGGGTACGCACTGTGTTTCAACTGTGGATCTTTATCTATTTGGTCAGAACAATATCCGACGTTACTTGCGCTCGACAGAAATTTGAGACCGTTTAATACTGATGGCCAGACCGAATTACAGGAAGTTAAAACGACTCTGCATGCAACAAACAGAAAATCGCGTCCAAGAGGTCCTTTGGACTGGATGGATGTGACAAACAAATCCAGAAGCGGATGGCAGTATATCAAATACATGACCATGCCGGAAAGCTGGTGACAGCGTAGTGCAATGCATTTATCATTATTACAAAGGAACTCAAGTCACTTTTCATACGTTTATGTTGGGAGAAATTATAGCATTTATCATCTGAGTCTGCGTAGCCCGGCAATTTTGGTAACAAGTCAATAACACAGTCTATCCTTCCAAGGGTTAACATGTCTGAGACTGTGACTACTACTAGTAGCGCCCACTTAAAGTACTATTAAGGATAACATTTTGAAGAAGTAGAATTGAAATAACTTCCGAAGAACCATACTTATACTATACTACTTTGTCTGGGGGTTGTTTTTCTCTCATACATATTCGGTTACGCAATTCTCCACGAAGTGATTGGTCGATATCACTGTGAGACTGCTGCCCACAGTTTGAGAGTATTCTTGTCTACTTGTCTAAATTTTCGTAAGTCCACATCTAAGTGAATCGGTGCTTCCTGAGTCTTCCGATAGAGTTGCACAGAGATAAACTTGTTTGCAAATCCATCTGTTGCTGAGATGTCTACGAATTGACAGTATGAGGCATCTACAAAGAAGGCAGAGGCTTTGTCAGCTGCTCGTACCACTGGTACCGATATTGTACTAGAGGTCAAAAACGGAATTCAACCAGACGGTAATTTTTGGCCGCAGCTGCAAAGCAGCTGGGAGCAACAAAATCGAATTTGAATACGACAGAATACGGAAGTCTCTGACGTCTTCGTGATCAGAACCGATGTCCTACGGAACACATCGAAAATGCTTTCCGCATCTCTAATTTCCGGAGATGCTTTCTGGGTCATTCCAAAGGTAAAATTAAAGCCAACTTGATCAAACGGACGATTTTTGGGGTATGGTGGCTTAGAAAAGTCGGGGATTCAGAAACCTTTTCACCCAACAACACAGAATGTTGTGACGCACTTACCCTACTCCCCATCACTCCTTCCAGGATGTTGATGAAGTCGAGCCGGTATCAACAGAGTCAGTGAAGCAGAAAAAAACAGTGATTCCACCAATCATTCTGACGCAAATCTATCCAACAGGCAAAGCAGCACCACCAAAAGCGTTGGCTGAATGCATGGATGACGATGATGATAGTGGAACGCATGAGCCCGGACAATCAACTCCGTCGCAAACGGTACGTCAACTTCAGGTAACGCACGGGAATACGGTTTATATGTCTCTTTTCTAAGCTTTAAAAGTTGGGTTCTCTGTTTCCACATGACATGGAGCATCGCGCTGAACGAGACTGCCGGAATTCGGGCTCTCCCTAAGGGGTCACATTTTTTATTCAGCGTTCACGAAACTGTGATCTCCTGTTGGTGTTCGTAAGACGGTATTTCCAAAAGGAGACTGTCCATGAGGAAGACCAATATCCATAAGATCTTCGCCAAGGACGAATAAACTGCAAAATTTTCAAGTCAGGATAACTTATGAAATCAAGCGGGCTTGTGATTTTCCGTGGTAATTCCTCGGATGATGAATACATCAAAACGCATCTATACGAAGTATAAAACAACGATCCAGTTGTAAAAAAAACATCGAAGAACGACAATCTATCAGGATGATTTGTGGTAGAACAAACACTTGAATTTTTCACAGAGTAAGATAAAAACACTAATCCCTTCACTCCGAGGTGTATTTTCGCACTGTTGACAACGTGGGATATGCTTCCAATTCACTGCTAAGAACCATAACCGTGTTTGGAAGTTGTAGGATTACGTACCTGGCGAAGTACTGCCGAATCCTCTGAGATATTTTCTCCTACCAGCAGTCGTTAAACATTCTCTTGAGAAGAATCTGTGGGATAATATGTACAGCACAGAGCGGTAAACTCTTTGCAGTGTCATCTGTGCAAGCTGCAGCCGACAGCACCGTCCTATGGATGAAGTCCGATTCGCTATATCAATTCCAGATCTGTTCACGAATTTCTCGGCCATTTTGTCTATTTTCGAATCAGCAGATAAATTTCTGCTTCGTTTCACAATCTAATGGAAATAGTGGCCAATTTCGTCTTACAAATGAAGCGCAAAGCGTATTAAACCAAGTCTATCTTTATTCCGTTTTTTTTTTCAAATCTGACACGAATTGTGGACGAATGAATGCGCACTCAATATTCGACCCCTCCTCTGTTATAGTCTTGGCGATCAAAGTTGATCGATTATTGCCCAATACCGATCGTTGTTAACGTTATTTACATAGCTTTTGTTACCTTCCGATTACATGGGTGCACTAACACACTGCTAAGTTGTAAATGTGGCTAGCTGAGATTGCTCAAAATGTAGCTACTTCCGTGATGATGGCAACGAGATATCCTCTTGGAAAAATGATAAGTGGCAAATAACCGTACCCAATATTTTTCAGCGTCCATGTAGGTTTGAAACAACGGCAAGGCCAGCAATGAACGTTATGATGACAGATGGAAAAGATATTAAAAAGATTGTTCATTACATGAATGTTATCTAATTCATGCTTCTAGTCATCATAGATAGGAGAAGTTTTCGTGAAGAGTGGTGGACAAGCTATCGAGCTGTCGCTAGATATCTTGACTACGGTGTATCAGTATGCCAGATTGATTGAAAACAGTCAAACACGATAGGTAGTATGTTTATTTTGGGGCCTGTCCACTCGAGATCTCTTGAGTAAAAAGAGGGAGAGTAGAGGGAAGTTCTGGATTACTTGAAAGCTTCCTTCAACGGGATTCTCCTATGGCCTTTTTTCCGTTTGTTGATGTTGGCAACTGAGTTGTAAATATATGTCACCGCTAATAATAATAATAATAATAATAATAATAATAATAATAAGGCATCGGCAGTATACAGTGAGGTAACATAGCGTCCTACTGTGACGCGGTGTGCTGTGTGGGTGAACGCAAGCTTGTGCTTGTCTCTGTAAGGCTTATTTGAGCGGCAAATGCTCAAATGCTCGACCTGTGCGTTTGACGGTCAGTCCCAACAGAGATCTGGTTGAAAGCGAAATGACTGTCGGAACACAATATCTTCGAAAGGGGGATTCTGTTGAGATACCCGTAGTTTTGCCGGTCCTGAGTATCAAAAGGAAGAATTGGGTTCGAGCGTCTAGTTTACTGTTGACACAAAGGTAAGCAAAGTTATGAAACAAACCGTAACGATCTACGCTTGTAAGGAGAGCAAGTAGACAAGTCTGTCACTGACCGACACCGTCCAGTGTCGAGGTCAACACAGGAAACAATGGCGGACGGAATTGCGATCTGTGTAGTCGCGGTCGTCCCTTACGGGGGCAGCTTCGTGGTTCTGATTGGCGATTACACGGAAATCATGACAGAACACGTCATTGCAGGCTCAGTAAACGGGGCATCAACACGCACGAATTTGAACTATGAGGCGGCCTGTATGCCACACATTCAGTTGTAGAATATCATAAACGAGAGATTCAGCTGAGTCTCTCGTGAAAACCAAATTGATTTGCAAATGAGTGTATTTATCGAAAACAGTCCAATTTGGGTTCAAGTGGAACTTAAGGTTGACGGAAACTCGGGACTGCGCCTACCTGATGAGCCCCAAGAAGGGCGAAACCGGTCGTGGGCTGTTGAACAGTCTTCAGCAACTTTGTGAGTAGTTTGCTCTATGAAAAAAAATTAAGTTAGATCTAATTTATTCAATGTGACACTTAAGAATACACTTGAACAGCACTCCGGTACTCAGCCCCAACATCGGAAATAACTTCGCTGCGATGATTCTCTGTTCATTTACCCGTCATGGTTTGGCAAACTGTATGATTTCACATTACTCAGTGTCTATCCGAAAGGTTTCCAGTGTGGGAGCTGTTTGGGAGCTAAACTAGCAGGTTATTGACCACCTGGTCGGTCGAGCAGTATCACTTTCAGTGGTTTTTTGGGTGCATGCATAGCACACGTCACGGACGCCTGTTAGTCTGAATGATTCGAATCACTACTGGGCAGATTTCCAAGAAATGCACTCATTTGCAAATCAATTTGGTTTTCACGAAAGACTCAAATGGATCTCCCGTTCATGATATGATATTCTTGAATTTGGGTTCACGTAGAACGTAAGGTTGACGGAAACTACGGGACTTCTGATAAATTGTCTTGAAAGGTCGATTGACTTGATTGTCTCCATAGCTAATTGAGCACCATTTGTGTTTCGTAGTATGGGAACATGTTTTGAAAGTTCACTCCCAAAACAGCATGATTTGATCCAGTTTGGATATTCAATGAATGACCAAAGAAAGCCACACTCGGTGGCCAGCGTCTATGTTTTCAGTTCTGTTCCATGAAGACCTAACAGTAAAGAGTGCCAAGTATTGCAGCGGCACTGTTTCACCAGAATACGCTACTACCGAGCAATCCTTGGTGAGCAGTACAAACCGTTAAAACGTTCAACACTATCTTCACACCACGAGCCTTAAACCAAACCTGTAACCCTAAAGCATTGAGGCGTCTTATGGGTGTGTTGAGTTTCCTACCACCAGCACGGTAGTTGCACTCGTGGTTGTAACTAGGACAGTGGCCGGGCTACGGTATCTTTTATCCAACCAGAGTTACCGCTGGTCGGTGCATAACCAGCGACCATAAAAAAGGTACGGTTTCCTATAAAAGTCAACATAAGAAGGGCACACAGATGACTGTATCCAATCAGCTAGGGAACTCAGGACTGTGCCAAGACTGGCGGAACCTGCTGCAGCAGGTTCCATATCGCCTGAAGTCCGCGATCTGTGGCAGTTAGTTAGTAGAAGTGCTACGTATTCAATTAATGCACGTAGATGTCCTTTTTGGGTTGTGTAAATGCAGCAAATGACGAAAAATGAAACTTCGGCAGTATGCCTCAGAGGATGTTGTTGACCGAATAACTGTAAAAATCACGGTTACACAGGCCTGGAAGTCAGGTGTATCCCGGTGGACGGGAGAGATGGCTTGCAGCATCATGATGTAACTAAACCTCACACTAGTCAATAAAAACGATCCAGCGCAGCCAAGAGAATGCTGTATTGCCCATCTGTGCTCATGGATGGGGGATAACAGCAACAAACGATGTTGTATAAAATCATTTGCATTCGTGAAACACAGGGTTATATATGATTCCAGGAACAGTTAGGTTAGGAAGTCGATTAGAACCTGTAACACAAAAGTCGGACCACGAAGCAGCAGTGTTTGGCATAAGATTGATAAATTAGTCAAACTTTTAGGGAATATGTTCCGACGCAAACTTTGAGGGCCAGAAGCTTTCTACTCATTGACCAACGTTTCATGAAAGACTACACCAGCGTTGGACTAACACCCTGATGTGTAGCTCAATATATCATGGAAATTCATTGCTAGACCATTTGATTCGTGCAATTTGCGTGAATCTTCTGCTGGTGGTGTAGGCGCATCAACAACTGAAAGCACTATCTGAGTACCCATCAGGAACCAGTATTTTGCCCTATTTCCTAAACATTTAAGTCTTCCTTCATGGTTTCCTGTGATGCAATAATCTACTCTGTGCTTTCAGAAGAAAATAAGTAAAATGCCAATATTTATTCGCAGATTCCTCAAAGTTATCCACTTACCAGTGTGTTTACTGCACGTTTTCTACAGAGCTCACATCAGTCGGATCATTTGCCTCCGGGGTATTCGCGTATTGAGTGGATGTTGTCGCATGAAACGGAGAATGTTTTACATTCCCTAAGTGTGCCGGAGAGTGAAGAAAATACGTATCATTCTTACGGATCGACGTGCCTATTAGCCACACACTGTGATGTGGCCGTTATCCGTTGTCTATTCTGTGCCGAGTGGTGTGAATCTGGAGTGTACTGGTCGCTCCACTACCTTTTCAAACGTCTGTTGCAAATTCGTTCTGCACGTCAAAGAATGGAACAAGAAACACGCAAAATACTGCGGTTAATCAGAGATAACGCCACTTGGAGGCAATACGGAGACATCTACGGAGGTATGCGGTCAACATCAGAGGCATTGTTGCTCGGCATGCGGAGTCTGTCCATGCCAGATTTATCGGTATTGTGCACTTTCCCAACTCATTCTTCCCCATCAAAGCAGAGCGATAGTGGACAGGACAGACGGAGCAGAGGTAAGCCACAGAAGATATGACAATACGTGTGTTTTACTGTTTTCTCCCACCAAAATTGTAAATATTAGACCAGTAAAGTACCACAATTTCTTGTAAAAGCGATGGTTTCTATCAGAGAAATATGTAGTGAGATTTCACAACATAACTTACTTCTACTTATAGGGTATATACTTATCTTCAGGTCATATCATCATAGATACTCCTCACTGCGAGAGATGGTTTTAACGCATAACTTGTGAATCATTAGGCATCTTTTCTTATTTTCAGGCAAACGTTTGCTTAATTGTTTATGTACATTGATTACGATTTTGTGCATCAGCTAAACTACAAACTATAATTATTGATTTGCCAACTCTCTAACTCCCATTCGACGGTAACTTCAAACGTCTGGGCAACAAATGTTTCTGTTCGACCTTGTCGTAGTCTTAATGGATATTGTCCTTGTCACCAGTGCAACTTTTATGAGAGATTCATTCAAGCCCACATATTGACTTTGAGCTGATTCGGAGCTAGGCACCGAATAAACGGGGGGTGGTTTTTCCGAAAGCTCATCTAAAACAGAAGGATCAGACTGAGACGCAAGAACAGGTTCTAAGGAGAGGCAACCAGACCCATAAATAACTGCGCAGTAGGCCACTTAATTTGTCGATTCCTGTGTGAGTGGGAAATGGGGTCTACGTATAGTTGGGTTGCATGTAGTTTTCTGGCTGCTCATTGTCGGACCCCCAGCTTATCTTGATACCAACAGGATCTCAAAAACCTGTTTCCCAGCCTTTTGATTGAGGGTAACATGGTGAGGTCCTGACTCGTTGATACAAGCGCACTGATGTGGATGTCTTGGAATGCCACCTATCCATGGATTTATCTCGGGAGAATTCGATTCGTACCAAGCACAAACACCGGATGTCCAAACTCTGAGATAGAGCGACAACGAACAAAACGCTATCTTGCTATCTTACCTGCGTCCAATATGTCTCCACCAGTCAAATCCCGGAAACTTAACTGATAGAGACACCTAAAAGATGAACAAGGCTACTTGCACCAGGCCACCTCATGATTCATTCACTACGATATTCGAGATATCGCGATACATGTATATGCGTAATGCGCTACTCATACCATACCTACTTGGTTTACCTATTCGATTAACTTTCTCGTCCGGTTTAATCAATTCTGTCGTAACAAGACGTTGTGAGGAGGATTTTTTTTTTACTTCTTGTGAATAAATCCAACTTGAATTTGGACCCCAGAAGCTCGGCTACACGTTGATTTGTTTTTACTGCTACTCACCATTTGTTGTAAAGCACGAAGAATATGTCCAGTTGGGGTCAAACGACCTCGCGTGTAGGCTTTTTGAAGGTTTGTTCATAGCTCTCATGCTTCGTGCGTTTCAAAAATCTCTAGGAAGATCCGACCTCCTAACCTCTCTGCTAGTATGTGAAAACCCAAGTGTTCGGGCAGGAGCGTCCGATCAGCGACGCGCACGCAAACAGAATTTAGCGCTACCCGTCCCTCAATCTCAGAATCCACATTCAATGACTACATGTGGGCTGGCCTCTAGAGTGATGACTTCTCAGATAGAAGGTTCACTCTCCGCTTGACCTATTCTTCGTTTAAAGCCTTTTGCATTCTTTTGATAACATGAAGGGTTTTAGGAAATATCAATGCAAATTCCTTCCAGGAATCAATGCCGATCTATGCTGAAGAACCAAGTGTCACTGTATGACTGGTTCATCTTAATTTGAAATGATTGGCATACGAGTCGCACGAGTCTCCAGCAGACAGACATGAGTTGCGCCACTACTTCGGGGTTGACAACTTCCATTTTCACTTCCCTGCTACGGTGACAAACTATTGGGAATGGATAAGACCTTTATTTCTTCAGAGAAGAAAACAAAACTTCTGATAATTTGGTGATATGGTGACATTCAAAATAAACAAACACTTTAGAAAGGTAATTGTAGTCTCATTCCAAGATTAGTCTGTGACCTTTATAGATGCAGTTAATAAGTATAGTTCATTTTCATCGGATTGTGGGTGTCGAATTGGGAAATAGCTATGAAACAGCTATTAGGTTACTCGGCTCACTCATTAAAGTGAAAATTAATAGGTCGTCTAAATTTATTTTAGGTATTTTCTATTGTTCAGTGCAGTGAGGAGATTATTAAGGACTTATCAGTGTTCTCGTTTGTGGGAGTCCCCAAATTCCAAAATACTTTGTAAGCAATCTTTCGGTAGAAGCGTTTAATTACCGAGCAGCGCGGAATAGGCTCATCAGTTCCCAAGAAACGGACTGTGTTCTATCAGTGTAGATCAAAAGCACAACTAAGTGATGCGATAATAGCAAAATTAACAAGGGTGCCATGGTCGAAATAGTCGTTGAACAAATCGGTTGTCATCGTATGCTGACTCTAAGTTCCACTCACATACTGTTCAAATACTGTGTTTTTCTGAAGAGGATACCATACCGTTATGCTTCGGAACATCGTTTTTTTCCCCGCTTATCTTTCTCAGACCATGCTGACAGTAATCAACGAGAACTGAAAGCCACAGCTAAAGACATTATACTGGATTCAGAAAGTGGTACAGTCGACCGACAGACTTTTCAAAGTAAGCACTTAAAAACACGCCCGTTTGGGGAGTCAACTGAATCGGGACACGATAAAAAAACGGGAAACCGTCCTGAGCGAACTAATATTCCCGGCGACCTCAAGAATATACCCGACGAATTCGGAGTAAAAGTTCCAGCAACTCTTGTGAGTGATGCAAGCTTATCCTTGGCCTTACCATTGGTTGGATCGGGAGGATCTCGCTTAGCACTTGGGTTGTCTTCTGGGCACCAGACCTCCTGGAAAAATTCAAAACGTTCACGAATTGCTGATATTAAGGTAGGTTTCCTAAACGTGAATCCCTTGCATTTTCTATTTAATTTGTAGGACAAAAGCTCGTATTCTTACATTTAGCTATTGCTTACACTGTATTTTTAGTTACTGCTAACGAAACTTCGTCATGTAAAGACAAACATGTACTTTGAAAGACACGAGCCGCGCTCATTCATAGTCGAATATCCAACGGAAAAAATGAGTAAACCTTCTTACCGGTACACACCAGGCGATTTCAACTGGATGGTAATGGCAGGACCACACTAATGCGTGGGTAAACACGCAAATGAGTTTCATGAGTACAGGGTGTGGTAAACTGGTCCGTTTACACGTTTGGCCACGGATTCGTCACGATATAATAAATTCCATCTCAATTACAAGGCCGATTTAAAGGTCATATGATTTAAGAGCCGCAGGTTCTACCCGGTGACTGGGACAGTCGGAGGTGCACTGAAACAGTTCATTCAGACGTCTATGGTAGAGCGGTCCAGGGGGGTTGATCGAGGGTCAAGAATGACAGTCCCTTTTGTGGTCCATAGTTCAGGGTTATGGGGCCTAATTCAGGTTTCCTTAGTAAGTCTCACCAACTGGGCAACGATGGACTGCACGAGGTCCAATGTGGCCATTGATACCATGGTTAGAATAAATGAGATGTGAAAAAATCGTACACTGGGCCAGCCAGCCAGCCTTTGGCCCACTAAGGCCAAAATCTAGTCTGACCAATGTATGGTGTTTCACACGAATATCTGAAGTCTGCAGTATGGATTGGAAATTTAAGTAGAATATACCCATTCATTTCTGGGATTCAGCCTAATGATAGGGCTTGAGAGATGACGTGAGCACAAGTCAGCTGCAGAATACGTTGTTTCGTTGATGAAAAAAGTTATACTTTCGTTTTATGGACCCTTGCTGTTCTAATTTGCATATTTGGGCTGTGGGACGCCTGAAAAAGATGCACACCCATTTAGACGTAGGCGGCTAATGTGGAGTAATTCCAACCAGAACGTTACTATGAGCAGCAATGAACACATTAGGAAGTCAAGTAAGAGTCGAACCTATTATTTGGAAACGAGTGAGATTGAAATTCTTTTCTGAGCTATTGTCCAGCCCCATTAATATCGCTGTGCCACTAAGTTTCTGGTTTTCATGAATGACACTCTCTATGACTCTAGTAAGGATGGTTGTGTTCACGAGGACTTTCGGGCTCATTTAACCTGAAACTACATTGACCGCTCAGACCTACCACTTTCCCACCTTACTTTTCCACAGAACCAGTCAGACAATTTTGTTGTTTTGAATTGCGAATAGATCTGATCTGCTGTTGCATCCTCTGTTTTCCAACTCGGTTCTGTTTTGGCACAGATGTGAATGGTTGAAAACAGAGCTTTAGGTCTTTGGAATTTCAGTTCCTTTTTGTGGTCTTTGTATCAGTCGGTTAGCACATCAGAATGACAATCCAGAATGAATGAATGAACACATTAACTGAGTGTCGGAGACGATACCGACTTCGGATATGGATGCTTGCTCAAGGTAGCTGGTTCACTGGATTTGTGTCTAGTCTCCTCACCTCTAATCGGTAGTTTCAAAGTACACTACGATTTCGCAAATGCCTGAACTATAAAAACGGCAATATATCCAAGTGGATCGCAACACAATAGATGGCTGATATTCGAAAGTGATCGTTTACAGCCAATTTAATCGAAGTACGGATTTGATCCGGAAGCATGCGTGTGATCGACTAGCGACGGTCCGACGACTTCGGCGATTCAAGTGGTAGTTAGGTTTATCCCCCTAATTCATGAAGCTGCTTAGGAAATGCAACCTTAATGTCCTATTCTAGGCCCCACAATACCATCCAACTGCCGTTTAGGGTTTGGGTAAATATTCAAGACAAATGTACGGACTTAACATGAGCGTTTGTTATTTCACTGACTTGTTACACTGACAGATTTGCGGATTTATCGATCCTTTCATCCTCTGGTGGACAGTCTCAACGGTTTCCAAATTCGAGTATGTGTTGGATAGAAGTCTGGACGATCAGTGAATGATTGTCGATCTTTAAGTGAAATTGACCAATTTGCGAACCTCACCTTGTATCGTGACCGAAAGAGAACCTTCTGAATCTTATTTATGACAAGAGCCACTGGATATATTAGGCTGGTTGGTTAGAACATGCTGCAAAATTGCCGATGACTGGTCCTTGTAAGAAAGGAGCTCTGTGCTGAGTGACATCTAAAATGTTCTCCGGTAGAATCACAAAGTTGGGATTCCCAGATCACACGGCACGTTATGTTGGTATGGAGATTATATAGAATTAAGCAACTGCATCTGAATTGAAGAAAGGTTTCGCCGCTCAGCGGTTAACAAAATTTTCTGGTTGTTGTCGCTACAACCAACTTGTGTTTTTCTGTGCTTTTCCGATTCATTTGCGTGTATTCTTTCGGTCTTCTCTATGGAAATTTCGATCGGAAATAATGCAGCCGTCTGTGATGGTGATGAGGCATGTTTCCTGATATTTGAAAATTAATGCGTCCCATATCACTTATTTGGTAAGAGTAATTGTTTCCGTGATTGTTACGATTCTGTGCATTGTTTTTGGTCTGCAGTGCTTGAGGAACCACTTATCAAAATATGGCCAATCACAGTGAAACGAAAAAGCTCCTTTGGTGGTGACGTTCTGAGCTTCACACTGAGTAGAAAAAATATGATAGGGGCAGAACGTAACTGCTTGATACAAAAAGTACCTTTAAGGATTCCGATAAATGTCGAACTGTCGGTTTCTCGAGGGCGTTCCTCGAACGCTAGTCGGGTAGTTCTTTCTGCTCGTCAGTCAAGAAGATAATGTCGATGTCTGTTTGACTGAAGACAAACGCGTGTCAACTACCAAATCCAGAGTCACATCAACGTCCGGTGGATTCGTAGTACTTTTTCGGAAAATGTTAACCCATCCCATAACCAGTTTGGTTGCATCTCATTGAAACTCGAGTCGTAGGCTAGCTATCGTTTAGTCTATTTAAGTGTCTATTGTATCCACACACGCATGTGTTGAAATCCACACGTTAGATACGTTAGATACGTTTCGAGAATGGCAGATTGGCTTCCCGCAGCTGAACTGTCCACATTATTCGTGGTCAAATTCATCTTTCTTCCAACGCCAGTTTATAGATATCACATCGTGGAGTTTTGTATTTTTGTACGCAATGTAACCTAATTTAAACTATGCACGTGACTAAGGCGACCACAGTTCGCTCGTATGGATGAGATGCAGGTATCGAAAAAAAATTATCATGTTCCTTTAGCTCATCATGATATACCCTCCCAGGTATCATGGAATTGCCACTTTCTTTGTGTTTCACACTCTCCCATGTGTGAATCTGAAACACCTGTCCTTGTTTCTTCCCGTACTTACTGTCGGCACTCACTTCCAGATGGAAGGCAACGAAGCAGAATAGCTTTGCGATTCCCCACACTTATTTACTCCTATACCTCCATGTTCTTCAAATTTTCTAATAGCCGACATCCAATCTACAGATTCAAGTTGAGTTTGATCAATTAAATATTTTCTTCATCACTGGCAATTTCTATCCATAATTTCTTACTGGCACCCTTGAATAGGGCAGGTATGGGGTCCATGTGACCTACAAATCAAACAGGACAATGAAACGTCATTCCCCACTGAAGCCATTGTCGTGGGGTGAAAGCATGGTCTACTTATTGGCAGCACTGGTGAAAGGAAGATGGCCTTCGCTGCGTAGTTGTTTATCAGAGAAACACCAAGTGAACGGTTACAGACTATTAGAAAAGGGAGCAAAACTCTCATCTTGTTTACAAAAACGGAATATCCATCTTGTCCTCGAACGCATCTTCCTGAACTTTCCTGGATATTAAATGACCGTTACTCAAATGCAAGCAAATGCTACAAGGCGACTCCACAATTTCCGTACTAGATCTCACTTTTCAAGAGAAGCGAATTGGATTTACGAGATAACATACTACTCGCATGCCTCAGCAGTAGCACCCACCGTTACGCTGGTACCTTAGGTAACAATGTTGGTTAGATCGCAAGATGATGAGTAAATTCTCAGGCTAATGTTTGCACCCACACATTACTTTAAGCAGTGTTCGTGGAAGTGTAAAACCATGGGTCCAAACGCAATGGTGTGTGCCGGTAATCGGATGCCACGATGATAATAAAGCTTCTTACGCCTGCAATAGCATCGTCTTGAGATATCGATTGATTCACCGATGCCAAGCGATATCGTCCGCAGAAGAAGTAATATGAAAGTTCATTATCTAAGTGCACATCAGTAAAACCGTCTTGCTTACAAACTCGAGTTTTATACAGAGGGGTTTTCACGCCTTTTCTGCCAGGCGATTCGACATTACGTCATGTTCCGAAGCAAAGGCGCTCCTCAGGCCCTCGCGGACTCATTCGTTTGTCATGGTGAACCGTTTTGTCACGCAGAGCATTGTCCCTCAGTGGATTGCTCTCTAGAGTTTCCGTGAGAAAAAAACTGCCAAAAAGACTTTCTGGTGTATTTTCGAATAAATTTAACCCTGATTTGCGATGTTTCCAATTGAAACCCCTAATCCATCCGTCGGAAATTGTTGATAATTCGAATAAATCAATGAGGACATTCAATCCGCACACCAGTGAGAATGATACTGGACAACAGGCTCATCCAGCCATAAGACTTAGTAGCAATTACTTGTAGCAATTACTTGCCCTGTTATTATCCTACTCTATCAAGCCAGTTTCCAGCCGGAATCTGAGTTCTTCGAATTTCTCGTTCTTTTTTTACCCCACAGGCTTTTTTCCGGATCACCAACTTTTGAAGTATTCACCTTTGTCCGGAATATGCTATTAGCCAAAACACCTATGAACCTAATTTTCCCTTAAATTGTGGCAGCTGAATGAATTTCGGATAGCAAACAGTAATCTGACAAAACAATAAACAATGTCGTTTTACACATGGTGTGCACAAGGAAGTCATTATATCTGGTGTACACACCTGTTGCGTTTCTGTATTTGGTTTTCAAAAAACCCAGATTCAGGAATGTAGCCTACGCAGGGCTTTAACTGAGGTCATACCCACTGTCTTACTTCACCTCCTGTGAATGCGAAGACTCGACCAACCTGCTTCTCGTGGGAAATAATCTGATGTGATCACCCCAGTATTCGAAAACTGCACCTCTTCTGTTCTCCCAAGACATCATACAGGGCTACCGCTTTATTCTTATTCTTTGTCAGTATTAGTGGCGAAAATAAAAAAAACAGGCAAACAACGACTCAACCGTGTTTGTGAAGTACCGAATGTGCATGTTCTTTCCTAGCAAGACGATGCACCAATTTTGAAGAATCTGTCAATTAATTTGTCCCATCTGCATAGTGTGGTCTCTCTTCATCCTGATGGTTTTATTGGTGTTACTCGGTAAACGAGGGAGACCACCCTTGGGAGAGATCAATTTTTGAGATGGATCAGTTTTGGATCTTTTAAATTTTGGTGACTACCAGTCTGCTAGGACCGCGGACCAGCATCCCTAACAAATTCTGTCAGATTTCGTCAATAGTTCTTATTTGACGTGCAACCGGGCTTTCTGGAGTTCACAACGGACATACTTTAGAGATTTTCCGTAAAAAGTACATACTAACCAGCTTTTGTATAATATTTGGGTGAGTTAGTGTACGGTACGGAAACGAAATAAAGACAACTTATCCAAGTTATTCAGGTGTCTTACTTCGCTGGACGTTCATCCGTTTAGGAGCTGCATACAAGTTTGGCTTACTTCAATTAGATTTAACCAATGAACGCTTACAGAGGACCCGCTCAAAGCGTTCAAAAACAGGCTTGCAGCACAACACAATAGGTGCCTTCCACGATGGCTGATAGTGTGACGCCATCGCTTCTTATTCAACAACAATGATCTCCACATCGCTACAGCCATGTTATAATGAAATTACTTGCACATTGAAGGCTTCTCACCTTCAAAAAATGTAAATCAATGTCCAAAAGCAACAGACCATTGAGATTTTAACGTGGTAGTGATCTGATTCTATGTGGTAGATCATGGATGGTATTTATAGCGCGCAAAAAGCAATATTGCTTTGGCGACTCAGTGGGGTTCTCTTGTGCGCGTAGCTTCAAGCCCGGAAGGGTCTGTGACTGAAAACCCATTTAGCCGGATGTTCATAGAAAGAATGTGGTTTGCTCCGTTAGAAACTTGAACACCCCTAGGGGGGATATTTTCAAACCAGAAACTACCGTTCTCAACAATTCGGTTTGGAAAATCTGGAAAGTTCATGCCGACACCGACGGAAATCCATCAATAATTAGTCTCAATGAGTACAGGTGACATCCAACATCTCTTTAGCTTTGAGTTTGCAGGACGAACGACATACTGAACTTTGTGGAACCGCACCACTATCTGTGAAAGCTGAATGTAGTCATTCCCACAAATTTATTGCACGACGCTTTTTCCTGGAAAAAAACTGCTCCTGTCTAGATTTCTATGTAGCTCCAGTTTCTATAGAGGGAAATCTCGGTAGCTCAAGTAGCGTAGATGGTCGTTGGCTTGTTCGCTGAGCTGGGCAACAGCTTCATTAATCCCCTCAGTAATAAATGCTGCTTCCCTCAAAATGCATCCCCGTTGTGAGAGGTAACTTTCGTTCTTTCGGGGACGAAAATCTGCCTTCTGTAAACCACACAACAGACTGCGGAGAAACTGTTGTGCAATTTTCTAGTGTTTACAGGCTTTTGTATAGGCATTCACACTGCGAGGATTATTCCCTTATAGATATCAGCTTCGTATTGCACTTTGATCATACTCTTCTGTGTTTTCAGATCCAGAGTTAGCCTAATTGACTAACACAACCTTCAGAACTTATGAATCGGCGCGTAACGTTTTTCCTGCTTCATATTGACAATATCCAGATAGAGCTAACCTGTAAATCACACGAAGCTGTTCACTAAACTAGACAACGCGAGTTGTACGAAAACACGGGTAGGCTGTTCTTTGCGTCAAATAGGATAAAATCACTTCACAATCAGATCTTTGAATGTTTACGGTATCAATTAACGTGCGTTCGTCAGACGTATTCAGATCTATTTAACTGAATTCAGGGCGGAAACGCATTACGAATGCAACCCAGCCTCGTAACCATAGCGTTAGGTAACAAGCTTCAGTCTCCCAAGTTAATGAGGCGTCGATCAAAACAAATATAGGAAGCACGTGAAGTGGTTTGTCTGGGATACTATCTTTCATCCAGCTTGAAGTATGCGGCACGTTCTGTTCGATTGACCATCTAGCGGACGTTTTCTTGCAAAATACTTCCTCCATCACGTTTTGTTCTACACAGCCAGAAATCAAACTGCTAAAAGCCTAGTTGTCTGCATTTTTATTTTCAGTGAAGAGGGAGTATAGAAAGGGACATTGTTTCGGAATTATTGGCGGCACTGGTCTTATTTACCCAGATGAATCGATAAGAAAGTTACGAACTATGAGCATAACGAGGATGAATCCAGTTCGAAGAGACCATTGTGTGCCACAGTCAGTAAAAATCAATAATACTTATTGATTGAGCGACTTGGATCATTTGTTATCCCAAAGTGTGATTTCTCCGACCACATTAAATTTAATGTTGGACATTTCTGAGTGCGTCCGATCCCCAGGGGTAATAACCGTAACTGTAAAGTCCAAAAACAAATCGATTGATATGGTAGTCTCAATCATATCTTACGGTGGAGTGATTCTTATCTAGCTCGGGAAAGACCAAAATGTATTGCAACAACTAAACAGATCATCTGCTGTCCAACCAAAACAAGCTTGGATTTCTCCTTACCCCATCCGGAGCAATGAATCAATCGGATGTTCAATCTTGATGCTCCCCCATCTCACATTGTCGATAAAGCACATGTGTGATTGACTTTAAAGGTGGATTAATTAAAAGGCTTCCATTTTTTCCAACAACTTCGTTAACACTCTCACATCTGTTGTCCTTGGAACGAACAGATGGGCAATTCGGATAGCGTTTTTATTGCTGTTTCTAAAAGAAATCCCTCATCGATCATGCCAATTGGAGAACTGACCGTTAGATTTTGCGTGTGTATTTGGTTTTCCGACTGCCCATGGATAGAAGGATTGATAGAATGATGGATTTAACAGAGCTGTTGCGCTTTTTCCCACTCATCTTCCCGACAGGAACGATTTACACGAGCTTCAAAATTCAAGGGAACTGATCAACTTCTAAAGTCGGGGGAAGCTCCTGGTAAGCCGAAATCAACTTTTATTCACTTCTTTAGTTTATTAGTCACAATATATTCAAGTGAAGGTTTCGACTTTTTCGAAGTTTGTCTGGGAAATAAACAGAAAAATCATGATTTTCTTACGGTTAATTTCAGTTATCATGTCGTTCCTTCACGAAAAGACCGGACCTTACCAAGGTTTGACGGTTTGCGTGTCACTCCATGACCCATTAAGTTATTCTGGGGAGTGTCTGTGAAGCACTGACTCTCATACCAGATTGGCCAATGATTGGAGGTCTGATCGACACAATTCCCTGGTCCCCTGGTTTGGGAGTTTGAACGTGTCGTAATGGTAATGTACCTGCATTTCCCACCAAACACCGAGGCCTTGCGGTCAGGCTTTTGAGTCCAATGCTTTGATCGAAGATCCTGCTCGTCCTCCTGTTTAGGTTTGGAAGGTATTCCACCTCATGTACAAACTTGAACTGCGGACTAACGAAGACGAAGCATCAGTGCTGAACACTGAGGTTGTGATGTCGATAATGATGATTATTTTTGGGTGTCACATTCAGTCGCACTTCCCATGCTCAACGAACGCTCAGAAAATACCATTGATGATAGAGTAGTCCCTATCAAGGAAATGCATGGGGAACAAATTATCTCTTGCATTTAGTCGCCTTGTGCGATCATGGCCTTGCGGTATTAATGCAGTGCAACAATACAACCATTGTTACTTATCACAGATGCTGATGCAAACGGTCTTAGAGATGGTGCTCCGGAAACTCAAAAACGATTGGAAGTCCCGCATGTTGGACCTGGATCGAGCAGCGCTCTCTTGGGAATCAGAAGTCAGCATAGTTTCGAGGCTCTTCAGGTTGAAACGGAATCGGATGCAGGAAAACGCGCGTCTGTTTACAAAACTGGAGCAAAAGATTCCCCAGAAAGTCCCGAAAAGAAGGTCACCTGGACCGAGGAAGACGATTTGAAAGCCAGTTCAGTCTCACTAATCTCGCGTTCATTTACGGATTCGGATATAATTTACCATACGACGGAAAAGGTATTTAGTCGGTTGTTCTTACGGTTGACTTTTTCATGTACAAAACTTCCAGATTTCTATACAGAAGTATATTTTATAAGCTCTTCCTCAAAAGTCTACAGCAAAATCTCCCATAATGTAAAATAGATAAAATTGCGGCTCAATTATGAGCGTGATTTGCAGACAGTGCTTCACTTGAAAGAGTTATGTTATTTGATAGAAGCCTTTAAATGGTACTCTACGGGAGTACTCTGCAGTCCCAGAGTTCCTGAGCGATGTACTGAGATGAATTGTGCGCACAAATACGCAGGGCTTCATTTACTAGAAAGTCATTAGTGATAGCTCCATCAGTTGGAATAGTTTTGCACGGTCCTCATGACTTAGGTATGCAGGGACTGCAGCCTTCCCTCAAGACTAGCTGTTTCTGTATGGAATAGGCAGAGGTCCGCTCAAACAACCACGGCAACAACAACAGCGGTTTTCTACTGATGCTTTGCTTTGCAAATGACTCAAGGCAAGCAAGATACGATGCTTAGGTTCACCAGTCTGCGAATGCGCGCTAACATCATCAAGCGTTTCCAACCAAGCATTTGAACGGAAATACCAAACAGATGGAGGTAATGAAAACGGTCAGACAGGCGGGTGTACTGAGGTGCCAGTAACCGGGGCACAACAAAATACATTCAGAAGGATTATCAACCTCCCCGTTCTCAATCAGATCTGCACTAAGAAAACTGAATACAGGCTGTTTCTCTAACTGTTATTAACGAGAAAAAGCCTCACAGATAAAAGTACTCGAACACTGGTGATTTTACTCTTTTGAGGACTACGATTGTAAGCAAGGTAGTACTGGTCACTCTGCAGCTTTGTCTTTCAGAAGAGTAATATCCATTTTCCATCATATTTCTAGACACTTTACAAAAAGACGATTGTAGAGGTCACCAGTAAGGCATTCTTTTCCTATAGAAAACTTAGTTTTAATCAAATGGCACAATGTGCCACAGAATTTCTGGCGTTGAAGTCATCAAATTCCAAGCTACAGAACCGAAACTTTGTCGGGACGTTGGACTGATAATACTGATAATACGTTTTGAAAATCTGCTTTTATCAGCCATTCTGTCCCAGCTAAATGGAAGCTTCCCCATAGGGTCGCCTTACTATATTTTACTGTTTCGGGCCGAACCTGTATGCCGAACCGCAACAGTGTAAAGCAGTCACCTGGATTATCAAATGGGAAAGCCTCTTTGGTCCACCTTGTTCAAGGCTGTTCAGAATGTTAAGCTAGCAATGTTCGGTTGGCAAGAGTTGAATATATTATCCATACATTTGTCATAGAGTGGAAGGCGACTGCCAAGCGAAAGACAACCTGCTAGGATAAGACCTTTCGATAAATGTTTCCTTGAGGTAATCAAGCTTCAACGAATAAATTCGCAGACATACCAACCAAGGTAGGTGGATATCCTGACCCAGTTCGTATTGTTGTTCATAGGACCAGAAATATAATTTTTACTCTCGAAAACGCTTCACACTTTATTAGCTGGGTGTGTTGCCGCGACAACACCTGGGATTCGGTAATTCGGCTGGACGGCACGGCAAAAAACAACATGATGTCCTAAGTAGAGACAGTTGAGTGAAGCACGTGACAATCATAGATTTCTATCCTTCGGATTCCGCAATTTGAGCTCACAAGATGTCCAGGTAAAAACGGCGAGGTAGTAAATCGAATTAAACGGTTAGTGAAGTGCTCCCATTCCCATAAGGATGTTTGGACCACTATTCTGTCTCTGTCAATATTTATGAACCCATGCGCACTTTCAGGCTGTTGGTGTAGTTTGGCGTAATCTACCCACTTTTCTCATAGAGCCTAGCCAAGCACCTCTGAGATTGTCATCGACATATAGCACAGCCAAACCCCGCGTCATGGAAACAATCAATCTATATACACGTGTCAGATGGTTCACATTTATGACAGGTGTTATAAAACTTGGATATTTTGAATTCGCTGATTGGGACAATTGGTATCCATTCGTTGTTGTGCTACTTCGTTCACGGAGAGATAGTCTTAAAATTTCACTCCAAACAGTCCTATTCCGCAAAGATCTGTCTTTCGCTCTTATTTTCGTACCATTTTGTTTCACTATTCAACTGCAGGAGATGCATGAGTCGTTTTTTACATAATCTTTCTCAAATGTTCCCGAAAATATTGTTTTTCGCCACTTTGTATTCTCATCATATATTGCCTTATTTTACCATTTAGTTTTCACTCCTCTTTTTTCGTCTTCTAAGGTGGATGAGGTTCCTGGAGCGGTTCACTATATTTCTGTCAACGGTCAGTTAGATTACTCCGTGGTTTTACGAGCACTGTATTGGGTCAGTACGGAACACAAGTCGACAAGAGTATGCGTACAACTGCTTCGCTGTCTGTGTACGCTGTTTGAGATGGATATCATGGATCACGCGTCAAGGCAAAAACAACCTCAATTCAAAGCACGAAAGCCTGTCAGTTTGCATTCGAAATGGAAGAAATTCAAGAAGTCTCCACGAGTGTCCACTATTCACAAACTGCCAGGGTCGCCTCAGCCCCCGTTGTCGAAAGACGTTCCAAGTATTCGAAGAACAAAGTTCAGCTTTCATGGGGATCGTTTAACAACCGGACCTAAATCAGAAGGTGAAATTTCGCCAACAGGCAAGCAAGAAGTGCAAATGAAAGTTAGAAGGCGAAATTCCGCAATTATGTACGTAGAGTCTGACGAGAGCGAGGACGATGCTGAGTCAGAACGTACTGTCGCATCAAAGAAATCCGGTGACTTAGTCGACAAAGGAGGAGTATCCGTCGAACATGGAACAAAATCTTTATCTCACAGTAACGCTGGCTTGAGCAAGTCCCACACAACAGAACTAGGTGGAGAAAAAAGCTGCCGATTCCGTAGGAACATTGGTTCTCCAAACACATCTAGTCCATCGAAATCACACCATCACAAGTGGATGCATCGAAGAAGTTATACTGTCCACCGTCGCCAATTTACGATGGATCCACCAGAACCATTTGCTTCACCAACAACGAATAGAGAAACCAGAAAGATGAATCATGCAATGGCTACTGAGATCGTTTTGAGGTAGGGGGTGAAATTATTTTCACATATTTTCTTTTCCCAAACATTGGCGCAAAAACGTTCTCTCTTCACCTGCACTGATGAAGACGGCATCCACAGCGAGAAGCTTCGCTGGCTCCGTGCAAGCGGAAAAACACCTGAAACGTTTATGTCAGCCAGTTAAGTATGGTTCAGAGGTGCACACGAAGGCCATATGTACCTCATTAGGAATTTTATCACAAATTAGTGAGACCTTAAACAATAAATCTACACATATTCCTTTCTGCAAGTGACCACGTAATTATCACAGATTGCGAAGGAAAAAACTGATCCACCTATCCTGTTTGGAAATATCTCATGTATAGTTTACAATATTTTCTTGGGCTTGTCCGCCGAAAATTTCTGAATAGCTTGTCTGTACAACAAATTCCATCATGTTTCCGAAGTAAGGGATAGCGAGACAGATCCTGAGACTGTTCTTTGCGGAAAGAGGTGAATGCTAGATTACAGGGTTTGAGGAAACACCTTCTGTTCCGCTCGAAGCGTCTTTGTTAGAAAATATGACTAAATGTGACATTGGTTCCACAAACACTTGGTCGCCAACTGAATTAACGTTTGCAAAAGGACTATCTAGCGTGATCAACAAGACAACGCTCAAGTGTGACCGTGTTCCTCAATGTTATTACGCTTAGCGGTGCAGACTCAACTCCTAAACCAGAAGCCATGTAGTTGTTCATTATCCGCTACTCATGGGCAAAATTGTCAAAAAATTAAATATACCTAGTTTTTCTCAAAGGTTTTGTTCGATTGACTGCGTTGGTACAATAACACATCATGTGGGCGTCTCCAACGAAATCGTGAAATTCGTCTTTCTTACTGTATACGGAAGCATTACCACCATTGTGTTTTTATCAACCCCCGAGATTCCACATCCATCTGGCTTAGTAAATAATTGGCGGTCATGACTGACGTTGTTTTGAAAGCCATTCATCACGCAACCAATGTTGCCTTTAACCAATCTGGGTCAACAATAATTGTAAGTTGTTCTCCGGTGGTGATTGTTTATGTGCCAAATGCTCGCTGGGAAATTTATTCCAATCATACGAAGCCGTTAGATGACCAGAGGGTTGTTACGGGCTTAATTTATGGAATAAAAATACACCAAATTTATACAGCTTATCCAGATGCCATATGCGACTTAAAGAAGCAACCAGGTGTCTTTATTATTAATAAACGCATGATGATAAGCAGTATTATCAATACTAAAAATATGCTATACTATACTATGCTGTAGTGTACTATACTATACTATACTATACTATACTATACTATACTATACTATACTATACTATACTATACTATACTATACTATACTATACTATACTATACTATACTATACTATACTATACTATACTATACTCTGCTGTGCTATACCATATACTATATACTATACTATACTGTTCTATACTATACTATACTTTTCTATACTAAACTATGCTACACTGTATTATACTATACTGTACTATAGTATGCTATACTATACTATACTATAGTACAGTCTACTATACTATACTATACTATGCTATACTATTCTATTCTATACTATACTATACTATACTATACTATACTATACTATACTATACTATACTATACTATACTATACTATACTATACTATACTATACTATACTATACTATACTATACTATACTATACTATACTATACTATACTATACTATACTATACTATACTATACTATACTATACTATACTATACTATACTATACTATACTATACTATACTATACTATACTATACTATACTATACTATACTATACTATACTATACTATACTATACTATACTATACTATACTATACTATACTATACTATACTATACTATACTATACTATACTATACTATACTATACTATACTATACTATACTATACTATACTATACTATACTATACTATACTATACTATACTATACTATACTATACTATACTATACTATACTATACTATACTATACTATACTATACTATACTATACTATACTATACTATACTATACTATACTATACTATACTATACTATACTATACTATACTATACTATACTATACTATACTATACTATACTATACTATACTATACTATACTATACTATACTATACTATACTATACTATACTATACTATACTATACTATACTATACTATACTATACTATACTATACTATACTATACTATACTATACTATACTATACTATACTATACTATACTATACTATACTATACTATACTATACTATACTATACTATACTATACTATACTATACTATACTATACTATACTATACTATACTATACTATACTATACTATACTATACTATACTATACTATACTATACTATACTATACTATACTATACTATACTATACTATACTATACTATACTATACTAT